AATAATACAATGGACCGGAAGGCTTAGAGGATACAGTATGTGCAAAGCCTAGTACAACGCCTAGTATGTAGTAATCACCGACTAGGGGTTCCTTAACCTAATTCATTGTAAAGGAAAAGAAGTGCTTTAACACTATCTCATTTGAGTCTGTTGTATCAAGCTGTTTTGTGGAAGGCAAAGAATTATTCTTGTGTTACATATGAATTGGTTCCATTTTTTCATTTTTACTAAACCTACACGAACGAGGTTCCTGGCGAGAAACAAACACACATGACGCGCGCATGTGTGTGTGTGTTGTAATTTTGCCCCACCAGATTTGTGGGCTTCCCGCTCAGCTGGGTCTCTAACAATACCTACTCTGCATTCCTGGCCCACCCCTAAGTACCAAGATCTTCCTCTCCTCATGTTCTTCTTACTGTCTTCTTTCATTTTCAGCTCACGATCTCCTCTCTCACTTGCTAGGCAAAAAAGTCCATCAGGCATAAGCACCTTTATCTTCCTGTTTCCTTTACTCTTCCTTCGCTGTTTTTACTCCTATCCCATCTCAGGAGAAATAAGAAAGGGTTTTCTTCATTGCTACGATAGATGCTTCCACCTGTGTTTGTTTTCTCCTCTTTCATCTCCTCAGGAACCTTGCTGCCCCATCGGTTAAGCCTCCTTTTGTCCTGTTTTGTCCCTGTCCCACCCCCACTCCCTCAGTCTCTTGGTGTAAAATCCTGCTCAAATCTCTTCTTTTAAAAACAAAGGATCTCTCCCTGTTCTGGTTTCCTTTCAACTCCTCTGTGCCACACATCATCGTGGGTCAGCTGCTTGAAGGCCTTTCTACCACATTTGGTTTCCAAGTGCCAGTCTGTGGACTGACTTCTAGCAATCACCTGAACCAAAGAATCTCTTGTTTTAAAAAAAAAATGTCCCTTAGGTGATGCTGAGTGCAGCTGGTCTAGGAACCTGCTGTCTTTGTGTTCTCCCCTCTAATTGTTCCTTGGTGGACTGAGTTTGACTTCTGTCTCTAGTACTCCACAGTACTGATCTAGCTAAGAACACCAGAGGTGCTCTTAATTGAAAAAACCACCACCACCACCAACAATGGAGACTCTTTAATTCCTACCTTACTTAAACTCTTTGTAATATCATAACTGTTAAGTACTCTGTCCTTCGAATTCTACCCCTCTGGATTTCCAGATCCATTTCCCCCATGTTTTTCTGCTACTGATGTTCTATCCAGGTGCCACCTGTGGGGTCGTCTCTCATCCCTGTGCCTGTGCCACCATAGTTTTAGGTGAAAGTCCTCACTTTTCCACATTTAAGGATTAGTTATTGCTTGTGCTGGCGATTTTTGAAATCCGTATCTCTAGCCCATATTCCTGAGTCCCAGAACCATGTATTATACCGTATGCTCGATAGTTCTTTCCAGATGTTCCCCAAGTAGAGCTCAAATCCAGTAAGTTCAAAATGAAACTTCTGTTCATTCCGATGCTCTTAATGGCCACCCTCTACCATTCCCCCTTGCCTCACCCATTCTTTATGGATGTAGTCCTCCTCCTCTTATTTTCCCCCTGTCCTATTATATCTGGCCCCTGAATGTTTCTGGAATTTTCCCGTCCTTCTCTGTCCCTGTTGCTGTAATTTGGGACTCCTAATTTATGGGCCGATTACCGTGAGAACCGCTCCATTGGTTTTTATGTTTGTGGTGCTTTCTGCAGCTCACTTGTCTACACTGCTTCCAGAGTGAGCTGCTTACTGTCCTGCTTAAAATAACATAATGGCTCATCATTGCCTTTACTGAAGCCCAAACTCCTTCACTTGGCATATAAATTCTTTTGTAACTACCCCTTCCCTTTTCCTCAACCTTCTCGTCCACTGTGTCACTACAAACACCTTTTAATTTATCCATGAGCTGCTCCAGGCTTCCTTAAATTGGCTAATTCTCTCATGCCTTTGTGTATTGAAAAAATTGTAAGTTATGGGAATATCCCTTCCCTCTCCAGGGCCACCACTAGCCCATCATTGCCTTTGTGCAAATTACAAGCAGATTCTTCATCCAGGTGGTCAGTTCTGTGGGTGCTCAGGTTGGTGATTGATAGTACTTTTGTGGAACATAGAAAAAGATACTTGTGCTGCACTGAAGCACCCTGTGCTGGGATCTAGGGTTTGGTGAGCTGAATGCCAGCCGTCCTTTAGGCTCCCCAATCCCTTTGCCGGCCCCATGGGTAGTGAGCAACCTGTACAATGGAGTTAAGTAGCCCTGTTCCCATCACCTCTTCCTCCTTCTGGAAAACTTGCTTAGATTTGTCTAGAATTTCTACCTCTCGTTAGACCATGGTTCGTATCCTTTAATTTGGTCATTAACCCCTTGGTGAATCTGAACAAAGCTATGGATGAGCCCACTCTCTGTAGAAATGAGCATACTCTTAACAGAGTTCATCATGAACCGAGGGGTTAGAAACTACATTCTGAATGTCACTCAACTTGGCTCCTGTGCCCAGGGTGGGGTCTGCCACTTAGTAGACGCTGAATGAATGTTCATGGAACTGTTGAGAGAGTACCTACTTCCGTGCTTTTTCTCTGTTCATATTATTTGCAAACCTCTAATCCCCCAACGTATTTTACAGACTGTCATCATTGGTTCCTTGTCTGTGTTCCCAGCTAGCCTCTGAAATTTTCCAGAGGAGGCACTACTCTGCTCATATGTATTCTCAGCATCTAACATAGGACCAAGCATATAATAGGCATTTGATAAATGTTTGAGCAAATGAGATTTGGTAATGTTAAATGATTTGTTTAAGGTCACTCGGTGAGGATGGATCTAGAGCTGGTTACAAAATTTTTTTTTTTAATTTTTTTTTAACGTTTATTTATTTTTGAGACAGAGAGAGACAGAGCATGAAGGGGGGAGGGGCAGAGAGAGAAGGAGACACAGAATCAGAAGTAGGCTCCAGGCCCTGAGCCATCAGCCCAGAGCCCGACGCAGGGCTCGAACTCACGGACCGTGAGATCTTGACCTGAGCCGAAGTCGGCCGCCCAACCGACTGAGCCACCCAGGCGCCCCACAAAATTTTTTCTTTTAGACCCCATGCTTCTAGACATTTTATACTTGTGTGTATATGTATAAGTATGGTTGGATGACTTCTACTCTGTGAAAAATGAAAAGACCTAAACAGTATGGCTAAACTTAAGGATTTGGATTATTATACTAAAACAGCTCCTACGTTGTTAGGTATTGACTATAATTTTCTTTGCAGATACTCTGGTATTTTGCAGTACTTCTCCATCAACCTCTGAGAGATAAACAGACCTTTGTTGGACAGAATTTAGCTACTGAATAACTCATGAGTTAAAAGTTATCAGTTATTCATGAGTTGAATTCAATGCTAATCTATTAGTGGCAAGATTAAAACTGGGTTTCCATTTTGTGACCTTGCTAAAGGAGCCCCGGTCTCCAGATCCTTGTGTGGTTTTCTTGCCATTTTTGAAGTAGCATTTCTAAAAGTAGGCTAATGAATACCTACTGCGTGCTTACTGTCTTTTACCGCCCCCCACTTTTTTCCAGAGATGTAGGGGCTCCTCACAGTCCACCCTTTTGGTCTCAGGAGTCAGGATTTTTTTCTAGGTTGAGATCCTGTTGATTTATTTTCACAATTCTCTATTTGTTTGCTTCCTACAACTTGTTTAATTAATAATCCAATTGCTTTGTATTCTAATTGGTTCCTTTGGCAGTAAATTTCCTTTATGTTTTTTTTTTCCTGAAACTGAAATCCTCTGTTTCACCTTTCAAAATGGGACCAGTAAATGGTTCTGTGTGAATGAAGACTTTCATGGAAATGAACAATATGAACTGTTTTCTGTATGAAACTGTATGAACCCTGTTTGAAAGATGGGAGCCAAACTAATGTCAGGGTTTAGAAATGATGAGTTCCATTATTCCCTTTTCACAGGTCTTCCTGCCAGGAAAATCCAATTCCTTTTATTAAAGCAAACCCAGCTGCTTGCTGTCTCCCTTGGATTCATTTAAAACTTCAAGTCTCTCCTGTGTTGTAGAATTTGTTTCAACTCCCCATTAAGCTTGTTTTCTAAGAACTTTACTTGTTTTTCATAGGCAAGTTTTAAAAAACAAAAACACAACAGTTTATGTCATAGTGAACAAAAAGCTCCAGGATTATTTAAATTGGATTAAAATATGCCAGAGCCTTGGTGACTGTAATCTCAAATATGAAGTCCTTTGTTTCTAGATTCTCCAAACAACTAATTAAAAAAAAAGAACTCTTTTCCATTCCATTTTTTATGACATTTGCTGTTCAGTATCTCAACAGCTTTAAGTATATGATTCTGAGTCAGAAGGGACTTGAGTTGGCTTACTGAAAATCTTTTTCCGAATGCTTTAGTGGGATGTGGGTTTATATGTATAAATTTTTTATGAACTACTTAACCATTGCTTATAATTTTCATTTAACATACTTGGTGTGGAAATTTCATGTTTCCCTTAAAACATCTTGAAAACACTTCTTAAAATATAAATGTTGCTATCATTTGAAGTAAAGAATAAAAATGTGAATACTGATTCTGCGATTATAACAATCAAGTTGGGAGAGGGGAACCATGGAAGGAACTTGGGACTCCTCACTTTCAGTAAATAGTGACCATGGGTTGAAAGAGCACATCTGGGAGCAAACTGTAAGAGACTCTTAAAAACTGAGAATAAACTGAGGGTTGATGGGGCAAGAGGAGTGGGAGGGAGGGGAAAGTGGGTGATAGGTGTGGAGGAGGGCATCTGTGGGGATGAGCACTGGGTGCTGTATGGAAACCAATTTGACAATAAATTTCATATTAAAAAAAAAGAAAAAGAAAAAGAAAAAAGGGCACATCTTGGAAGCCCTGGTAGGTACCAAATTGAATAACTGAGGCCACTTGAACCTAAGGATTTGGGACCTTGGATAACTTTAATACCACGATTCTGCCTCAAGTTTCCCTAATAGATTGCATTTTGATACTTGCAATTTCAGAGCAATAAACTAGAGGAGAAAAAAAGACTTCAAGAAAACCTCAGAAGAGAAGCATTTAGAGAGCACCAGCAGTAGTAAGTTTGTATCTTCAGAACTTTGTACCTTTAAGACATTGTTTACTCTGCTTTTGAATTCTAGGTAACTTTCCAAGACCTCTGCTTTGGATTATGGGCTGTTATATTAATTATGTCATTGAACTCTGTCATTATGTAAGGTTTGAGGTTGGATACCTCTGTACTCACCAGAGTATTCTTCATCGATTTGAAATAATACTGCTAAATTTGAGAAATCCTTGATTCTAAATAACTCAGAGGGCTGATTCTTTGGCAATCCAAGGTACTTCTGATTATGTTGACTTTCAAAACACTGATATAAGGAAGATAATATTTGAAAAGAAGCACTCTCAACAATAGCCAAATTGTGGGAAAAGCCTAAATGTCCATCAACTGATGAATGGATAAAGAAATTGTGATTTATATACACAATGGAGTACTACGTGGCAATGAGAAAGAATGAAATATGGCCCTTTGTAGCAATGTGGATGGAACTGGAGAGTGTGTTGCTAAGTGAAATAAGCCATACAGAGAAAGACAAATACCATATGTTTTCACTCTTATGTGGATCCTGAGAAACTTAACAGAAACCCATGGGGGAGGGGAAGGAAAAAAAAAAGAGGTTAGAGTGGGAGAGAGCCAAAGCATAAGAGACTCTTAAAAACTGAGAACAAACTGAGGGTTGATGGGGGGTATGAAGGAGGGGAGGGTAGGTGATGGGCATTGAAGAGGGCATCTTTTGGGATGAGCACTGGGTGTTGTATGGAAACCAATTTGACAATAAATTTCATATATTAAAAATAAATAAATAAAAAATAAAATAAAAAATAAAAACATAGGGATGCCAGTATCTCTCCCATAAGCCATTTGTAAGGATGAAATAAAATAGTTTACATAAATGGCTTAAAAGTGCCTGAATTCTATGGAGACAGAAATGAAACTTACAGGAGTCCTTGTTGAATGGATCAGCCAACTTATATTTTGTAGAGACTGGATAGTGATTCTGGTCCCACCCAGAATTAGCAACTGGCTTCCACTTTCAGATGGATTATCATCTGACTTCCTCCTGTTCTCTCTTTCTGTTATTGTACCTCATTTTCAGAATTTCAGATCATTCTAATGTGGAGGTGAGCATATGCGATGCCCTAATGCGTGTTGCTCTTCTAAGTACAGGGTCCTCTGTTTTTCTCCTTCCGCCACAATTATCCTGCCTCTATCCTAAGCAGCTCGTCCTTGCTTTGAGTCTCAGAGAGAGGAGTGGGAAGAAGTTTCTCAGTGCTTTACTTTGCTTCTTGGCAAATTAGGTTACTTGGCCTCTGCTACCCAGGCCACAAAATGGGAGATGGGGTGGGTTGGGTACAAGTGCCAATGAGTAACGTCATCTTTTTAAAGTTAATATAGGCATTGCCCTCATCTGAGTCATTGATTCCATAGCGTGTCTTTCCCCGCTGTTCTTCTAAGATAGGCATGGAAGTGAGGGAGCTGGTGGGAAGCTAAATACCAGGAAAGATGAACTGTCTTAGAGCTGGCAGGAGGGAGGCAATAGATTAAGGGTATATTATTGCCTTTCCCTTCATTGCTTAGAGGATGGATGAGTGTATTTCTAGGCCAACCAGAGGAGTTGAAGGAAATAAGGGTACAGTTGTAGCCTAGAGACACAATAAGAACAAATGTATTTATCCCTGTGTCATTCTAGTTTTAGGTTGGAGAAGGGAAGGCCTGCTTGCCAACGAGGGGTCTTAAGTACAGGACAAGGAAGTTGAACAAACCCATTCTCTGGAGAGGTTTTTTTTTATATATATATATATATTTTTTTCAACGTTTATTTATTTTTGGGACAGAGAGAGACAGAGCATGAACGGGCGAGGGGCAGAGAGAGAGGGAGACACAGAATCGGAAACAGGCTCCAGGCTCCGAGCCATCAGCCCAGAGCCCGACGCGGGGCTCGAACTCACGGACCGCGAGATCGTGACCTGGCTGAAGTCGGACGCTTAACCGACTGCGCCACCCAGGCGCCCCTCTGGAGAGTTTTAAACATGGTAAAGTGGAGAATAAGAGGTTCTCAGAGTCTGAAAGGACATGGGAGGTTGTGATACTCAGTCACCTTTCTTTTATAGTCCAGCTTGTTTTATTTTTTATTTTTGAGAGACAGAGAGGTGGAAAGAGGGAGAGGGGAAGGGGGAGAGAGAGAGAGAACCCCCCCTTCCCCCTACCTCATGTGTGCACAGGGGAGGGGCAGAGAGAGGGAGACAAAGGATCCAAAGCAGGTTCTGCTCTGGCAGCAGAGATACCCGTGCGGGGCTCAAACTCACGAACTGTGAGATCATGACCCGAGCTGAAGTCGGACGCTTAACTTATTGAGCCACCCAGACGCCCTGTCTTCCAGCTTCTTGAGGTGTGTTTTACTAAACACTGGAGATCAATCACCCTTTTTCTCTGAAGAAAAAGTTTTACCCTTAGCCGCCTCCTATACCATCAGTGGAGCTGAATTCAATTACACGCACATTTCACTCTTGCTCTTTCTTCTGCTTATCATGAAAGTCCCAGTTAACCAGGAAAAAGGAATTGAGTAAAAATGAGAAGTATCTCAAATTGATTTTTAAAGCGTATTGAGAAACATAAAAAATATATGTGAGGGGTTTTTTTTTTTTTTGAAGAGTATTTTGTTTTGAACTACTTTTGAAATTAAAAGACTAATAGCTCATGAAATGAATGATCATTATATAGCTAGAAATATGAAAGGGACTCCTTGGAAAACATGGACCCTCTGTATAACAAGCCTTTATCATACCTTCTTATAATCGATTTTTTATGGTACAAAAATTGCCTAGAAGAACTGTTAGGATTGTTTTTTAAAATTTTTTTACATTTATTATTTATTTTTGAGAAACAGAGTGAGACAGAGCGTGAGTGGGGGAGGGGCAGAGAGAGAGGGAGACACAGAATGTGAAGCAGGCTCCAGGCTCTGAGCTGTCAGCACAGAGCCTGAGGTGGGGCTCAAACCCATGAACTGTGAGATCATGACTTGAGCTGAAGTTGAACGCTCAGCTGTCTGAGCCACCCAGGCGCCCCAAACTGTTAGAATTTTAATAGCACAAAGATTTCACCAGACCAACCAGGCTACTCTCCGTTCCCCAATGCGCCCTTCCCCCACCAAAAAATTTACATTATCCTGAAGCTGTCAAACCAGGGAACACAAAATAGAACACAGCTAAAATTCTTTGAAACCCGTCAATACCTCATGTCCTTGCTAGTTTCAGCATGCTGTGATATGTGGTTCAAATAGCAGACCAGGAATGGTGGTATGTGTGTGTGTATGTGTGTGTGTGTGTGTTGTAGAGGAGTGCATCCATGGACTTGAGCAGACTATAAATCTAAGCTGCTGGAGAAAAAGCTCACGATAGTATCCTGGGGCACCACCATGAGAATCTTAATGTGCTCTTTCTTAACACCTTATTCCTGACTTCGTTCATTTGCTTCTGATCATTTTTAGTGTTGTCAATTATTTAGCTAACAGGCAGAAAACTAGGCTTTTATTGACATCCAAAGGGACTCTCCTGAGTGTAATAATGAAGGCAGTTTATTGAATGCCTGTGAGGTTGCTTTCTAATTGTACGCATTAATCTGCCCATGCAAGCTGGCTGGAAATACACAAGCAGATTGCGTGTGCAGATGGAGCACACAGGATGGCTTTTGTGAAAAGACCTCTGGAATGTACTTCTGCAGTACTGTCTTTTCCTTAAAAATCGAAGGACTGTGACTATTTCAATTGGCAGCTGAGAGCAGACCAGATTAATGGTGCATTAAGTCTGCTACTCTGGCTGGGGACAGATTCATTTCACAATTTAGAATTAGTTCTAGGATTCTTGAGCATGAAAAGCAAAGGGCAAAAATAGGCCTCTAACCTTGGTGTAGTTTCCCCCATTATTTTTACTCTCTGTAACTATCTATAAAAAGTCAAATGTGGCACTTTTCAGGAAGGCCTTTTCTATTAATCATTATTACTGGTGGATTTGAGGGTTTGAGGTGATAGTTAATAAACTTTTGATTGTGCTTTTTAAAAAATATCAAAGGGAGGACATTGGGATATAGGTGATTTAAAAACACAGAGTAAATACATCTCCACATTTAAAAATTTGAATGGTAGCTGATTTGGGGGGTTCTAGTCGTTTTTCTAATTATGTTTTTTACATAGATATAGAGACAAGTTTGAATTTTGAGCCCATTTAACCAGTGGCGGGGGCTCACATAGGGTGGGAGCAATGGGATACATTTTGTGTGTGGGTCTTAGGAAAAAACAAGGTTCTTTTAAGGATATGCTGGAGAGCTAACAATTGGGTATCTTCCAAACATTTGAAATGTTAATTCATATCTAATAACCATTTAATGTAATAGATTATACATTTGCAGTTTTTTTTTTAAATACAAAATGCTTGGCTCTTTGAAATAAGCAAAATAATAATAAAAGCTGCTGTATTGCTGAGAGCCTCTAGAGTATCAGGAGTATTAGGTATATTATATGCATTTTTAATTTTTTATTTATTTTTTAATTTTTTTAACGTTTATTTATTTTTGAGACAGAGAGAGACAGAGCATGAATGGGGGAGGGTCAGAGAGAGAGGGAGACACAGAATCTGAAACAGGCTCCAGGCTCTGAGCAGTCAGCACAGAGCCCGACGCGGGGCTCGAACTCACGGACCGTGAGATCGTGACCTGAGCCGAAGTCAGACGCTTAACCGACTGAGCCACCCAGGCGCCCCTATTATATGCATTTTTTAATCTAACTTTCAGATCAGCCCTATGAGGGGTATATCCTCCTCATTTTACAGATGGAGGGTTGAGTAAATTACCTCAAGTCCCTAAGACCATAAGTGATGCAGCCAAATCTTGGTCTTGAGATTTGGGGGTCCAGGGGGGCTGGGGAAAATAGGTCATTGAGAGGCATGATATAGTTGGAAGGTCAGGAATATCTGGCTAGGGTGGGGGGTGATAAGCTCTGGAGTTAAGGGGTGGGGGTAAAG